ATGTATTGACCATTCTCATAGTATATTTACTAAAGTTTCAACAAAACGTGAATTTACATATAAATAGTCTTTTGTTTATGAAAATTGAACTGAAAGCTCAACAATTGCTTGCTGAACAAGATTAAATCGAATATAACCTAGATATAACCTAGATACACCGAAATAATTGAGCGGTTCTTACTCATTTATAGCATTGTCTTTATTTTATTTCACTTTTTTATGGTAAACAGTTGATATAAGTTATATTTACATCAAAATGAAACGTTTCATCACGTAAATTTCAGTACAAAAATTGTTGTTTTAAGGTTGCATTGAACTTGGCACGCGCTGGTGTTTAACAGTCTTTAGCGACTGGTTGAAAACCGGCTATAATTAGTATTTAATTATGCACTTTTCCCCAAAGCTCGTGTATATGATTCTTTTGTTATTATTATTTTTTTTTTTTTTTTTTCGGGTACACAAAGCACATTCTTAGTATTAGGTGTGTATTAATGAAATCCCGGTGAATTTGTGGTTTTTCATTTGTCACTTACAACGCGCTCTTGTGTAATCCGCAAATAAAATGCACAACAACAACACAAAAAATTTCATTATTAATAAATTAAGAACGGATGCTTTATGAAATTATAAACATTTAAAAGTGGAATATATGTATGTATAGATGTTTACCGTCCAACTAGACGTTTGAAATGAAACTGTGAGCTGTTGACTGTTGTTTGAGAGCTTTTATAGCTGCGTGATCGTGATTAGCTGAGAGTTAATACAACAAGAACGAATGCATACGTGAGTCTTGTGAGAACCGGTGTTAAGAACTTGAAAGCAGCCAAAAGCGACCGCCTCAAAATGGGGCTTAACATGTGGTTAAAGCATTTGCTATACACCTATATATATAAAACAAACAAATTATCAAACCAAAATATACAAGAACAAAAAATATATGTTTATATGTGTATGATATTAGATATTAGTTTTTTTTTTTTTTATATATATATACATATATATATGTCACTGGTCAATACTCAATGACATTAACAATGCGTCTATGCTTCTTGGGAAAAATCTCATGTTTTGGCAGCGAGTACAATGAACCTAATGTCAAGTCAATGAAATCCGTGTGCCACGTCACAAATATGACTGAGACTGTGGCGAAAATTCCGGCTAATTGATTTGAGAACTGCTCTGTTTCGTTTACTCATCTGTCTGGCAATTAAATTTGCTCAATAATTAATTTGCCTATTTGTCATAAGAAATGGATTAAAATTATGATAGTTTGCTTATATCCAAATGCTATTTCTTATAAATATTCTTAAAGCCAAAAAACAAACAAATAATATATAGTTATTTTTGATTCCATCACTGGGATTTCCTGATATGCATGTACCAATGGGTTGCTATTAACCCGAACGGAACTATCCTAACACCATTCGTTGCTGTAACGAGTTCCTAATGCGTATTTAATCTGATAGACTGACCTGTCACAGCATTAAAATTTCCATTCATTCATTGTTGACTCACCTGCACATCAAATTTAAATAACCAAAGAAAAATCACATTTCTAATTCTATACATTTTGTAATATAGTACATACATAAATTATATATAAATTTAATATAATATGTATGTATGTATTAAATACTATAAAACAAATATGTTGTATTGTAATCAAAAGTATAAGTGTAAATATTCTAATCTAAATTTTGATTAGTTTTTTATAAATGATTAAAACATGTATGATTAAATGAGTCACATTTTAATGCAATTTCATATATAAATATATTTTATTTTTCTATAATAATCAAAGCGTTGTGTATATATAATTGAAAGTTGATTAATAAAAAAAATACCGATCACAAATATGAATAAATCTTTAAGTTAACAAAATTAGTTCACATTTTTCCTATAGTAAGATTTATAATGTGGCTATAAATACCAAATACAACAAATATTTATAATAAATAGTTACATATTTACAATCTAAAATATTTTAATAGATTTTTATACCCTGAACCCATTGAAAATGGGAAATCAGGGTAGAATGGTTTTGTTAAAAGTATGTAATAGGCAGAAGATGGCGTAAGGTGATCAGGGCGACAAGTTGAGTCGATTTGGCCCTGTCCGTCTGTCTGTCCGCCCGTCCGTATGTATGAACGCGTCGGTCTCAGAAGATTTAAGAGCTAGAGACTTAAAATTTTTCCTAGGTTCGTGCATATCTCGCGCACAGCAAGCTTTTCTCTAAATATCCCGATATTTTACTATCGATTAAAAACCCTTTCGAAAGCTAATTAATTAATTATATCTCCCACACCTTTAGAGCTAGAGCTTTTAAATTTTAAATGTAGACTTATATGTATTTTATACAATTTCGGTTTTTATTTAAATTTACCCCCACCTCTATATTCACCCTCTGCGTGTATGTGTGTGTGCATGTGCGAATAATTATTGAAATATCAGTTGCTCGAAGGGTTCAGGGGATCTCGTAGTCGAGCAGTTTCGACTAGAGCTTTCTTACTTGTTATACTAAGAAACTATTATTCAATGTTATAAGCATACTTGACGCATTTTCCCGTATGACAAACTAATCTGGATTAACGTTCGAAGCTTTCATAATAATATATTCTTAATCATATTTGCAGCATCGGTCCAGATATTTATTTATAGACGTGCACTAAAAACAAATTGTCTGGCATCATAATAAATAGAAAACCTCAACTACTAGTCAACTACTACTAATCTGGAATTTTATCCGAACCGTCTTTCATTAGACTGCGATTGTATAGAGACAGCATTTCACTTTAAGCAAGCCGAAGGCCTTAGTAGCCAGCGCTTAGTTGTTAAGTTAGATTATAATTTAAATTACAGTTAGCTGTTATAGATAAATAAATAAAACATTCCATCGTATTTTCTATTATTTAAGTTCTTAAGAATTTTCAAAAAGACTTTCAGCTAAATTGGTAAGATATACATAGGTTTCACAGAAAATCCATGCCTTCGTATTTCCAATTAGCTTTGAAAGAAAGCTTTTAAGAAAAAAAAACATTAGATAAGTTGTGTTGCTTTACATTTGATTCATTTATTTGCCCCGCGGCGAGGACAGTTACATGGAACCGCAAAGCCCTTTAATTTCCTGTTGCTTTTCCTTTCATTTTATTCCCAAATTGGACCGACCACGGCGGGTTACTAACAAGATCAACGTGTTACCGCAGAAAGGGTTCAAATGGAGTTAACTAGCGCACGCGGGAAATGTCAACGCCAGATAAACGTCTGTGCCGGAAAACGGGCGTGGACATGCTTTAATTAAGCGCGAAATATTCCGAGTGCTAATGCAAAACAGCTTGCAACCACCAGAAAAAAATAAAAATGAAAATAAATGCTAACCGCTTGACAGCGGTGGGATTCGAACCCACGCCCTTTCGGACTGGTGCCTAAAACCAGCGCCTTAGACCGCTCGGCCACGCTGCCATATGCCGGCACCGTGATTTCAAGCCCACAACTTTCACACAACCTATTTTCAAATACAAATGTTCTAATCAGAATCCAACACATTACCTTGTCTACATATGCATACATGTATATTTATATGTATGTACTTTACAAGAGCTGTATATTCTATATAAAGCTAATTATAAACTATCCAAATTGTGTACCTCTATTATGTCCCTAATTTTTTTCATTGAATTTTAATTAACATTAGGAAAACTTGATATATAGATTTCATACTTTGCTTTGCGTTAATCTATTTAAATTTCATTTAATACACTCTTCAGATTTACATTAAAAAAAAAAAAAAAAAAAAAAAAAAAAAAAAAAAAAAAACATAAAATGATTGGACACACAATAGACATGGATAGACTATATACACCATACATATTATTTATTATTATTATTTTTATAAAATAATACGTACTATATATACTCTGCATAGATGTGATGAATATATTCTAAGCATAAAAATATAAAAATCTGACAGCGGTGGGATTCGAACCCACGCCCTTTCGGACTGGTGCCTAAAACCAGCGCCTTAGACCGCTCGGCCACGCTGCCTCATACGGCTTTGTGTCAAATATGCTACTTGAATTCGCACCACAATTCAGTTGTCTGTCGTCTGCTACTAAAATCTTGGTATAGTTTCGGGGATGATTTACACGAGTGTTGCCGAGTTATATTTTTAAAAGGTAGTAAACAACAAAACAAAAAAGTAGTAAAAACCGGCACTTGCTACTGATTGGCAGCAAGAATATGTACATGATATTAAGTGCAATTAAAAATAATTTTTGAGGCGAATTATAATTGAAAGCTAATTTTGAAAATGTAATTTATTAAAAGCAAAATAGTATTGTTTAATGATAGTTAAAAATTAAAGAAAAAGAAAATTATACTATAAATATCTTAACTATATACACTAACCAACTAAAATTTGTATGCATATTTGGTGTACTTCTACATACATATACGCATATAATTTACTTGATAATCATATAATATAGAGAAATATTTGTAAATAAGAAAAAAAACATTATTAAAGCTAATACATATTTATGCATATTTGGTGTACTTCTACATACATATATGCATATAATTTACTTGATAATCATATGATATAGAGAAATATTTGTAAATAAGAAAAAAACATTATTAAAGCTAAGACAAACAAATTTGTTACCTATATAGTATAATCGTAAGCTAAATCAAAATGTAGAAAATATTCAAAAGCAGCAGAAGTTTTTTATGCAGTCTTGCACTTAGTGATGGTAAGAATTAAAATCAAGAACTATAAAATAAAATATACCCGAGCAATAACAATGCCAAAAACACTTTTTACGACTCAGGATTCACATCAAAGCTATTCTAATTCATTGACAAACGCATTTTGATTTTGCGATAATGAGCCTGGGCATAAGGTCACGGTGGTCAGGGCATGTTGAGATACAGATACAAACGTTTAGCTACCTTCCCTGCAATCATGCGCCCTTTGAGGTCGACAGTTTCTAGCCGCACACCCCGTTGTTTTGTTGTTATTTTACGATTTGTGCATTTCGCAAATTCGCAAGCAAAATAAAAAACAAACAAAAAACGAAAAGGTTTCCCTTTCTATATATTTTATAGCATTTTTATGACGATATAGTTTACTATTTTGCTTCTATATTTTTTTTCTTCCCCGTCTTCTGGGTTTACGAGCGTTTTATAACTTGTTTACATTAGGCAAGTGAGTAACGGTAACCCTGGGAAGCGTTTTATGCAAAAATCTATTAAAACGATGGCGAGCTGCATAAAAATCACAATAAATGCGTCTTAAACGGTTCATAACACAGCCACCACAGGGATTACGCCAGCTCGACTTGACTTTGCCCCCACTCCAGTTCACATTGCTACGCCTCAAACTGAGTTTGAAGTTTGAGGCAAGCGTTGCCAATGGACCGTGACAATTGTTGCTGCAAATGAAAATGTCGCATGGAGCAGTCTGCAGCTCAGTTTAGGGTCTAATCTGACAGTTGACAAAATGTCCGCTATCATATCAACTATAATTGTGTTCACAATATATTTAATGCTGCCCACTGTGGAGGTTTACGTTATACGAGCTCTAGAAAAGAATATGGAGGAAATGGGCTACCAAATGGAAGAAAATAGCAATGTGAGCCCATGCTTAAGCAATATTATAGGCAATATCTTTGTAAGTATGCATCTAAAGTTTTCTTAGTAATGGATTTCAATACTATATCTATTGTTTTCTTCAATTTCACTTTAGCTCGAATTCGGTTCACAAATTAAGCGCAAAACAAAGAATTATTTACAACATATAAATGTGATAAATGGACAGAATTATTCTATATTCTTTAGTTTCTCAAGAAAACATATAATACCATAGGCCGCTCGATAATTTGACATATGTATATAAGTTAAAAGAAAACTAAAAATAAAAAAATTGTATGCCAAATGCAAAACAAGAAAAAAGCTAACAAAAAAAAACATAATTAGCTACAGTTACGTCGACTTAATTTCATAACGAAATATTTAAGTTCTTTATACATTTCACAAATTAAAATTTAACGCAGTTTCTAAGCTAACTAACTTGATGTGAAAAGATTTGTTTTAGTTAACACAGAATGTTTAAGCTGATATATATTGCTCTTCTAACGGTGCTGATTTCAAGCCTAGATGCACGCCCAGAGAGTATCGACGACTTGGAATCATTGTTGAACAGCGCTGTAAGTTTTCAAACGCATTTATAGATTAAAGATATAATCAGACTTAGTTTGATTTTAAATAGGGTGAATATAATAAAATCGTGCCAACCGGAAAGGCGAGATCATTTTCTATCAAACCAGATGAAAATGTTCTTATCAATTTGAATTATAAACCAGCAAAGTCAGGACGTCGCAAACCGGGACATAAGAAATCCAAAAGCCAAAGCCCACAATACTACCTGAACTTTACGTTTCAGAACTATAAGAATCCAAAAGAAGACACAAAAAAGAAGCCAAACAAAAATCAGCATGGATTTAAAAAAAATCAGTTTACAGATTTTCCTCTTAAGGGCGAAGATCCTTAGGCATTAACAGATCATCCTGAATATACATAAATCGTAATTGAAAAAAAATAAGAAATTAAGATATATAAAAAAAAAAAAAAAAAAAAAAAAATTAAATGGAAATGAATTATATTTCTTAAGTCACTAAATATAATTGCAATAATGTTTATCAAAATATATGGTCAATTAAAAAAATATCTCGTAAATTTTGATGTTTGGTTTTGCACTTTGCAGCCGAATATACGTAAGTACATATAAGTATATAAGCACATCACGTATAACCATGACGGATCCCATGAAATAAATATATTTACAGACGACCACATTATTATGACTATATGAAATCAGCTGATCATTCTGAATAAGAATAGTTATATAGATTTTTACAAAACCATTTAGCCCTGATTTCCCATTTTCAACTGGTGCAAGAACTGATTTATATTGGAATGCTTATCGACAAGCCACAAATGCTATTGTACACTAAACTTAAGTGTGAAATTAAGTTTTTCAATTAAACTATTTGATATGTATTAAAAAGTTATCTTTGAATATTTGCGTTCAACAAATTTGATTTTATGTTCGCAAAGTGGAATTTGGACATATTGATAAAAATTTTATTTTTTTCAATTGGATTTCGATATAAAAAAAAATACTGTATATATATCTAAGTACTTTACAATTTTTTCACTTTATAAAATTGATTTCCTGTCATTTCCTAAATGTATAGACCTAACAATAATTCATAATCAAATAATTTTTAAGCTCAAAAGCTAACAAAATTATGATGGCAAACCAATTACCGGAATAGGCAATTATAACTAATATACTTTGAGATAAGCATGGGCACACAAACTTGCAAACTCTTAAAAGGCAATTAATATTCTGTCCCTGAACACACTTCAATCAAATTTCTTATCAAATAATGTGACAAATTTTAACAATTATTAATTAAAAAGTAGAAAATTATGAATTAAAAATTGTCGCTGTTTATTTGATAAAAAAAAGTAAAATAAAAAAAAATTTGCTAATGTGCATATTAATTCAATGGAAAGACAATACGTCTTGCTCTAGATAATGGCCAGGCCACCTTTAAAAATATTGACACGCCGAAAATTCCCTAGATAATAATCCGTAGACAGAGTCTAGCGATAAGCTTATCGCAATTTATCGACTTTCGTTCGCCTATAAATACGACCTGAAACATGCAAATATCTTTAGTTGCTATTACAATTTTTATTGTATAGCATACTAAAAACATAGTGTATACTATATATCTAGAAAAATATCTGAACCGAAAGCCTCAGCATGAAATTCTTCGTTATTCTTGCCTTGTCGATGACCGTATTGGGTCTGCAGGATGTGAGCGCCAGAAGCATATTTGACAGTCTTGGCCAAGAGTTTGTATGTGTTAAATGCGGAAGATACAACCCGATGAAGATGTAAATCTCAACTGCTTTCGTTTTCAGGGAAATTTTGGTAACGCAATTGGCAAGGAAGCCTCAGCTTTAGGCAATGCCATAGGCCAGGCAGCCTCTCAGTTCGGCAATAATGTGGGTCAAGCTGCAAACAATCTCGGCAACGCGGTGAGCAGCAGTCAGCTGGGCCAGGACGCCTCCAACTTGGGCAACTCCATTGGCCAAGCGGCCTCGCATTTTGGCAATGAAGTGGGCCAAGCCGCTGGCAATTTGGGCCACATAATTGCAACGAATGCATCTAACATGGCTCACAATATTGCCACTGGCGCATCCAATTTTGGCAACAGCGTGGCATCCGATGCATCCAGTCTGGCACATGACATCGCCAATAGCTTTAATTCCGATGAAAACTCTGCTTCCAATGTGGCCAGCAATGTTGCTTCTGATGCTTCCAATGTGGCCAGCAATGTTGCTTCTGATGCTTCTAATGTGGCCAGCAATGTTGCCAGCTCTGCTTCCAATGTGGCCAGCAATATTGCCAACACTGCATCCAACATTGGTAGCAATGTGGCTTCTGATGCCTCCAATGTGGCCAGCAATGTTGCCAGCTCTGCTTCCAATGTTGCCAGCAATGTTGCTTCTGATGCTTCCAATGTGGCTAACAACATTGCCAACTCTGCATCCAATGTTGGCAGTAATATTGCTAACTCTGCTTCCAATGTGGCTAACAACATTGCCAATTCTGCTTCCAATGTGGCCCACAACATTGCCAATGCAGCTTCCAATGTTGCCAACAATGTGGGTAACTTTTTGTAAGCGAACTACCCAAATGTTTGTAATCAGCGATATAATATCATCGTAAATAAAGCTATAATTTCTGTCTAATATAAAAACGTTTTTATGTTTTCTAATTTCTTGTTGACCTGATTAAAGTCTGAAGAATAGAAATTCGTATTTACAAATTGGGTTTCATACTTCACGAATTGAATTCGAGTACAGTAGAATCCGGTTATAACGACACGCATGGACCCTTGAGCGTTACAGATGGGATGGATTCTCCTATATATTTTTGTTTATTTCACATATGACAAGCGTTGCTATTTACAGAGCTGAATATCTTACAAATTGTGTATCTAACACAATAAATAGTATCTTTTGGCTTATAGCTCTACAAAGCAATAGACCCACAATTCAAACAACCCGCTTGGATCTATTTTAAGATCCTTTGCACATTACACAACTTGACTATTTCTGTCATAAAAATAGTTTATATTAAGAAAAGCCTTTAACTTAACATTCACCGCAACGCGATAAGAAGTTTAAACATCAATCAGTGCGCGCCGCCAGTTTCGTATATGAATTATTAGCTACTTGAGCTTAAGAAGGGCGACTTATAATTACATTTTACTGCGACTCAACTTAGTTACATAGATAAGATGCCTATATAAATCATACTGCTTGTCCCTACAATCAAAACAGTTAACAAGTTAAAACCGAACAAGCAATATGCAAGTCAAAATTGTAGCCCTCTTGGCCATCTTTGTGATGGCACAACAAGCCGATGCTGGCACCATTACCTTTGGTGATCTAATGGGCGATATTTCGAAGGTAGCTGTAGCTGGCGAGAAAGCAATCCATCAACTGGAGAATAAGGTATTCGATTCTGCTCAGTCTGAAGTGGAACATGTTGAAACAGCGATACAAAACATGCTAAGTGATATGGCTAATGGATTGGATGATCTAGCTGTAAGTATGAGCATTATAAACTGGCCGAGAGTCTTGAAATTCGATCCTAGATATATGATCTCTACAAATTCCCATCTCTAGAATGCCCTAACCAATTTGCGAGCTCAGCGTGATTATGTTCAACCGGAGCCAAAAGATCTTCTCGGCAGTCTTATGGGTGACATGGGCAATGAACTTGGTCATTTGGCTGTAAGTTGAACAGAGCTCACCATTTTACTTGAAACTATAATATATATATACTCAATATACAGAACACTATCACCAGCCTCAGTGTACAGATTCAGGCCATGCCCAAGTCTAGCAGCGTTTCAGTAAGCATCAACATGAGCTCAACTTGAGATTTTATAATAAATTTGTGTGTTTTTTTTTTTCTGCTTCAATACAGTCCTCTGGTGCCTCGATAATTGGAGAAGTTGGCGTAAGTACTTATCGTGTTCCCAAAATTAATAAACACGATTTATTTTATTATTAATTTGTTTATTTATAGGGTCTGAGCGCTCAGGCCATCGCATCTGCTGCTCATGCTGCTGCACCCTATGTGAAGCAACTGAATACTGCTCTGGGCGATCTTGCTGTGAGTTCCACATTATTACTTCATTTTGAACTTCGGCTAATTACTTTGAACTATTACAGAACTCCCTTACCCATCTATAGATTGGACCATATCAAGTAGAAAACATTTATATTTTCTATCTTTATACTCGCATATTCATAATCAATCAATTTGTAGTTTTAATAAAGCGTGTTCTGAACTTTTTGAACTTTACAAGCAATCTGGATAAAAATAATTATGTTGCGCTCGAGTTTTCGGAATCTAAGATCTATAGGCGGAGCCAATTTGATACAGTCCATTTCCAGATGCCTTTCCTACAAAATCATCTATTTTCTCTTCAGTCTGATATGGGTAATGCAGAAAGAAGAGCAGCATTAGAAGATCAAATTACCTGAAAATCACCAACGCCATAACTGCCCCGACCATCCCGAGTTGCCTCTGATCTAATGTTCATTGACCAAGCCATAGAACATAAAGCTTTACCCCGATGATAGAATCGAATAACATGTAGACAACAAGACAGACAACTAACTATATTATTCCAAATCTCAAGGCACTCTCTTCAGTATGTAAAGACTTATACCAAGGGAGATAATTTTCATTTCATGAACGATTATAAATATTGCATATATTTTATATACTTTATACATTATATTATAGTAGAAAAAATATATGTACCCAATTAAAATATATAACAGTCTACTTCTGATTCTAAATATCTGTAAATCTGAAGTTGAATCACTTCACCGCGCATGATCATGCATTTAAAATATATGTATATTGCTTAAGCTATCAAAAGATGAGCATAAAATCAGATATATCCACTGTAAGAGCAGCAATATAATCGTTTGCTTGATCTTCTTTGTATGCCTTAAATAATTTTATTTATTTTTTTATTTTTCTACAGCGCCGTTTATAGGGCTTAGCCACAGTCGCAGATGCTCGTGCTACGGAAATTGGGTCATCTAAAAGGGTGAGTCGTTATATGGACCAGCGGAAGACAGCGCCAGGGGGAACACAGCTCGTATGTTATTTAGACGTTGCATGATGGCATATGCATAAACATACTTGTATGCATAACTGTGTGTGACTGGCTTTTGTCGGCTGTTGTTGTTGTTATTGTTATTGTTGTTGTAGGTGTTATTAAGTCAGTTTATTGAGCGGCAAATTTCGTTTGTTTTGGCAACAGGAAAATTGGATATTTACGTCCAGCCGAACAATATATACGCACGATGTTCCCCAAAAAGTCGTGCACGCCGTCATAAAGCTGTAATTATGAACAATTTTTACAAGCATTTTGTTAATTAATTTTGGCAGCTCAAAGATGTAGAGAAAAAGAAAAGAAAAAAAATATATTCAAAAAACCCTTTTGTATGCACGCCCACACATGTCAGCGTCGCATATTTATGAACTATTTAAAAAAAATATATATAATTTGATATCAATTAAAATGCAGAAGCCATAGCTGCTACTAGGCACGACTCTACAGCACACACAATGCGTGTGACCAACTATTTATTTTTTTTTAATCATGAAAAAAAATAAATAAATAAATAATTGTCACATCGTGTTGCAGGCACATTTATTGCAACTTCAGCTCTAAATTCCATAAACCCGTTTTGTGGGTGCTATTAAATGATCAAATTAAGTACATTTTACTGATTGAATCGGTCAACTATTCACGAGAACACGCATTACATTGTAGGGTCGAACTGATTGCCTAATACCCAATCGGTGCTAAGAAGTAATATGTATTCGAAGACTAGGGTAGAAGACTGTTTGGGTATGTCCATAGTAATTCATCTGAGAAAATTTGAATAAATTGGCTACAAAGAGAGGGAAACAACTCACATTCTACTAATCCCTTTAAGGGAGAGTTTTATTATTTTCGATCAATTTATAAAAAATTCCCATGTCATTTTATGTTTTTTCTCAATGTAGAGTTTCCGACTAATGGACTTTATAATCTAAAAATTTTGTTTAAAATTTATAAGAAATTAATGGATTTTTTAAGATCTGTATTATGAATATTAGGAAAATTTTTAGCAGTAGATACACAAGATATATTATATTATTTATAGACATTTATAATATTGTAAAATTATATTCTTCAAAACCTAATAAAGATGAACATTTCATAAAACCAATATACTCCATTCAGCTCACAATCGGATATAAAGCAGTGGCAAAAGGTGCTGGGAACCGGTTCGCGAACGTTTCTATGTTAGTGGTCAAGGTCTAAGGAGCAGTAGACACTCGGACAGTGGACAGTAAAAAAAAAAAAAAAAGAAAAAAACACAGAACTGACTATAGAATGCAGTCAAAGCGGAATAAACAATAGCAATGAACAGAGCAGCAGAAGCAATTCCAAAATAAATGCGAAAAACTGGAGCCAAAGTGAGATCGTCCAGAATTGCATAAACATTGAAGTTATACGAATATAAGTATGTGTTATATACACGCAACATATATATCAGCTATGTGCAGCTGTGTTAGTGCTGTCCTAAAATTAGAATTCAACTCTTAGTAGGGTGACTCTGTGAAATAAATACTAAAAATATTCAATATAGGTATTTAAATAAAATGAGCTGTAAATAAATGTTTTTGATTTTATTCTAAAACTGATATAATATGTTTTGCTTAATTTTTAAAATTTGTAGACTTGGTTTTTTTTTTACTTTTTTTAAATAATTTAAGCTTAATTTAAACGTGAGCTATGTGATATGATTTCTAAAATATTTATATCATTTATAGTATAAATTGTTTGTATATATAACATTTTAAATCAAAATGTGTATGTATATAATTCAAGTAAATTCTTTCAGGCTCCAAACTTGCGCAAAAAATACTCTAGTTCCAAATAGATAATTATAATAGTAAATAAAAATATATAGATTAAAATTACCAATAAAAAAAATTTAATTAGAAAAATATTTAAAATTAAAATGAGATTATTTGGATAGACTCTTTTGCAGTGAATTATGAATATGTTTTATTTATATTGAGACACCCTAATGATGGCATGCACCACGGTCGCAGTGCAGCAAAAAGTTGCATGCATTAAATATATATGTATATACTTATTATATATATAAGTGTGTTTGAGGGACAATTGCGAGTGTGTTTGTGTGCCACAAAGGGTTGCCAAACCACTTGCTTTATGTACGAAGTACAAAAATAAAAATAAATAAAAGCGGGCTGCAAGAAAAAAATCCCTATATTGAAATTTTTAGCAATGCGAATACATAAAATACATACAWACTGTCCGCATGTTGAACGAAAAACTGGTTTCTCTTATTGATTACGTTGCAAGCCACTGCCACTGCCATCCCGTCTCCGGTCCCTTCGGGCCGTAGCCAAAGGTTGTCTTATCTTATCGAGAGAAGCCAACTTTTTGGAACTAACACCTGAACTTCAAATCGGGACGCGAATCGTCTAGCAACTGCTGCATTATTTGTCACAAAATTTCAGCTGTCAACTGTCAGTTCAAAGTGGGCCTGCAATAAAACTTGGTGTGTGTGAAGCGGCACTTAACACGCACAACAACAACAACAGCTTCATTAAAATTAATTAATGCCTGGGCACACACTCAGGCACAACAAGGAGCAGGGAGCCGAGCACAACAATAGGTGTCAAAGGGGGGAAGTTGCCATCATTAGGCGCATATCAGTCATTTTTTTTTCGGAGTTTTCCTCTTTAGATACACTTACCGATGTGTATTATAATTTGGTCAGAAATTGTGTCAAGTATAGCAGAAGACTTTAAAGAGCATATAAAGTAGGAGCTAGAAAGAAGGAACTGCTAGAAGCTAGAACCTGGAAGTTAGGAATTGGAACTGGGAACTAGGCGATAAGAACTAGAAATTGAGAACTGAGATCTTAGAACTGGGAACTATGAACTAATAAATAAAAGCTAGGAACTAAGAACTATAAACTAATAACTAGGTACTAGGAACTAGAAACTGAGAACTTCGAACAAGAAAATGGAAAGAACTATCAAGTAAGGCGAATAAACTTTTATAATTATATATTTTTATTATGTATGTAAAATAAATTCTTACAAAAACTAAAAGCTATATACCAAACAGGGTATACAAAAGTCCACCTCAATGTTCCTCCATCAAGTTTTTTTTTGTTAGCCGAAAAATATTCACAAATTAAATTAAATGAAGTGAGTGTGAAAATGTTGTTGGTAGGGGTAAAGAAACAACTGGAAAGCCACACAGAAAACATTAAACAGCCGAACAGTGGGCAGGGTCCAAAGGAAATACGCTCAAGTGATTTTCATACCAAAGTTGTTGTTATTGTTGCTGGTGTAGCTGTTTGCTGTTGATGTAAAATCAAGATAAGCAAATTGTTGCCGAAAAAAAAAAAAATGTGAGCACAAAGGAAGCGATTTGGACATTTTAATGATGATAGAGCATGACATAGAATAAATGAAAATAAAATCCATTTAAATTGTACATCAATATATATATATAAACACCCATACATACATATACACATGATATGATATGACTCAAGAATAGCTGAGCTATAATAACTATATGATTAAAGAGCTTTCCAAATTAAATATCGATATGTCAGCCAGTTATATTTTGGTATTTAGAAGTACGCGCTCTTATCTAAATACAATGAAAAGTAACCAGAAATTTTTTTTATTCATTATTTTATTTATTTATTTA